TAGTCCTAGAGATGACCCTACTCCAGTGGATGACACCACACCCATGAGAATGTGGGCAGCATAAACAGGACTCAGTGAGTTAGTAAAAAACACTGTACAGGAGTAATGAGGGAAGTTGGGGAGTAGATCTGAGTGGTGGTAAGGGGAGAGTTGGGGTTGTACACAACTAAAATACACTGTGTGCACATATGAAATTCTCAAAGAATTAATAAAGTATCACATTTAATAAAGAAATTCAGCATGGCAGATAACATAAGAAACTGGAATTAGACTACTGGTTACCATAGATTAAAGTCAGTGTAGGAAGTAGAGGCCAGGCATGGTGGCTCACACCTGTAATGTCAGAACTCAGAGAGAAAACTGGGAGGTTGATCAAGGCTACATAGCAAGGCCCTGCCGAAACAATTAATCAGACCAATCAATTAATTAATCAAATCTGAAAGAGAGTCTAGAGAGATGGCTCAGTAGGTAAAAGAGTTTTCTTCTCTTACAGAGAAAGAGCTCAATTCTCAGCAGCTTTGTTAGGCAGCTCACAACTGCCCATAATGCCAGTTATAGGGGACCTGATGCCCCCTTCTGGCCTCCTTAGGTACCTTGATTCAGCGCATATACACACACATAGTTAGAATGCAATAAATCCCCAAAACTTGAAAAGAAAATAAAAACAAACTTTTAAAAGGATCTACTATATCGTATCATCTTGATGTCAGGGAAAGACTTTTTAAAACAAGAATTAAAAAGGGGGAAGGCATGAGGAAAATATTAATAAAATCATCAGTGTTAAAATTAAGAACTTTGTTCAAGGGCTGGCAAGATGGCTCAGTGAGTAACCTGCCAACCTACCAACCTGAACCCTGCGTGGGTCCTTGGCATCCACACAGTGGAAGGGGAAAGCCAACTCCCACAAGTCATATCCTGAGCTCTACATACTAACCAAATGAGTTCCTACACATGCAAGCACACATACTAAACAAACCAATCAATGAAAATGTAATTTAGATTTTCTTAAAAGAACTTTGTTCAAAAGGATGACATCAAGATAGAAAGACTAAAATCCTGTATCGGGAGAGGCTACTTGCAATACACATAATTGATAAACTCCCTAAAATATCCAACATATGTGAAGAACATGCTTATCAACGAATCAAGACAGAGATAGAGAGAGACAGAGAAAACCAACAAGAAGTGAACAAATGACAGGGGAAACACTAATAACAAATAATCCAGAAAAAAAGGTCCAACCTCAACGGTATTAGGGAGTAAACGTTTAGATGGCAATAAGACTCCCCTTTACGTACTTGACTGGGGAATTTTGTGTTCTACACAGTGATAGGAAGTTGGTGCAGAAGACTTCAAGATGCTGTAATAAAATGCTGGCATACTGACTATCATAACTGCTTTGGGAAACAATGGATACTATTTGTGAAGATGGAACGGAACAAATATGCCCATAGTAAGTATTCTATAACAATTAGAGTGTAGTTGTGCTTCCCTAATTATAGCACTTGATGGTGGTGTTCACGGGGGTGAAGGCAGAAGGATCAGAAGTTCAAGGCCATCCTCAGTTACATAAAACCATTTCTCAAGAAACAAAAATAATCAAAAGACAATCCCCCAAACCCTTAAATGCAAACACTAGTTCTGTCAAATCAGCAGGAACGAGGACAACAGATATAACTGAGTGGTGAATCCCTTGCCTGGCACACGTGAACCTTGGAGCTGGGTTACAGCTCATCAGCATGAGAAAAAACAACAACAACAACACAAAAACATAACAGAAGCAAAACCCAAATGAAACATCCGAGATGATGACTAACAGGAAATGGATGAGCCTTAGAAATCATTGCATTAGGAGAGAAAACAGCCACAGAAGACTGAATCAAATACAATAGTATTTTTTACAAAGCTCGAAGGTAAGCCTAGCAAGATGGCTAGCCTGCTGATGACCTGTATTCGATGTGGAGGACACAGACAGTAGAAGGAGAGAACCAACTCCTACAAGTTGTCCTCTGACCTCATATTTGAGCTGCTGTACTAGTCTCCTAACCCCAAATACATAAATAAATACATGTAATTTTTAAAAATTATTTTTAGAAGATCAAAAGTAGGCAAAAATAAGATCACTAAAAGAATTTTTAAGAATACAAACAAAATGGGAAACTATTGTTTCTAAAGGGGGGGAGGGGTAAGGACTGACAGCTTAGACGAAGTTCAGGCAGAAGCTCCTTCGGTGGTGGGCAGGCTGGCAGGCAGGGAAGGCACACACAATAGTGGGACAGTATGGACGGTGCTGTGGTCCTTGCACGGGGTACTGGGGTTGTGTGTTACATTTCTTAAACTGGCCCAGGGTTCTAGGTGTGATGACACTGACATTTGGTACTGGATAAATCTTTTCCATGAGAGCTGTCTTTTGCAATACAGGATGTTAAGCAGCATCCCCACCCTACCACCAGCTGTGACAACAAAGATGTCTCCAGACATTACCAAATGTCCCCTGGGGGGGTAAAATTGCCCCAATTGAGAATCACTGATCTACCTATACATGTTACATATATATCTCAATGTTTAAAATATTCTACAATAAAGTTTAAAATTGATGGGTAGAAGCTCCACTCCGCCTGTGAAACACAAGCAGGAGGCATCATTAAGAGCCGAGCGTGCCTGAGCCTGCTGAAGGCCTTTGAAGCTGAGCCCGCAGAGCCATGTAGGCTGACAGCCCCAGAGTAGTTGAGTAGCAGGTGACAGATCTAGAAATGGCCCAGTATCGGGAGCCCACAACTGGTTGCACTGTGGGAGGGGAGATGTCTTCATTTCCTAATTCTTTGAGAAATCTGAACATTTAACCCTGATGAAAAATTACCTGTTTAATTAAAATAAAATCTATTATTGTTCAGGACCCAGAGGATCTGAACTGGAGCTGACCTGAAAGCCTCCTCTCTGAGGACTAGCTTTCCTAATTCCAGAAGGTGCTGTGAAAGCTTCCAAGGGAAGGAAGCAACCGGCAGTCCTCCCCAGCTGTGATGCCTATGGCCATAGCAGTGACCAGCAGGACAAGCTATCCCTAAGAGTGCAGTAGTGGCATGCATTTCTTAGCAGAGCCTACTATCCTTATATCATTAAACCAGCATAATTCTTAACCGCACTCTAAACACTTATCCTTATATTCACAAATACCATAGCTCTCACCCCTCATCAAAGGAGGTTCTCTTTGCAAGACAGAAACCATTATAGCAACCACAGCTGTAAACATGCAGAGAACAGCTGGCCAGGGGCGCATAGGCTCAGTGGATACACCTACAACACAACTCCTACATCTACAGCTCAGGACACATGGAGGAAGAGGGAGCAGAAAGACTGTAAGAGCCAGAGGACCAGGAACTCTGCTGTGAGACTGCCTCCTGGAAATGACAGGGAAGCTATACCCACAACACTTCAATAATATGGCTGCCCAAACAAGACCTGACTTAGGATAACACCAACAGAATGCTAATACCAACAGAATGCTAACTCAGAAGGGGCAAATCTCATAGGACCCCACTCCTAGACAAAGAACTACAATGAACTACAGACAGCTAAGGTATGCTGAGAACTGGAAAATTAGCCTTCCCCTGGGATTAGCTCCCTAATTGGCTATCCAGTACCAAGTAGTGCTTATATACTTAGGATCTATCTATCTATCTATCTATCTATCTATCTATCTATCTATCTATCTACCTATCTATCTATCTATCTATCTATCTATCTGTTATATATATTAAAGGATAAAAGGCCATGAATTGTGAGTAAGTGAGGAGAGAAAACATGAAGATGTTGGAATGAGAAAAGGGAAGGGGGAAAGGAAGTAATTATATTTAACAATTTAAAAAATCTTCTGTTACCAGAATAAAAAGAAAAATGTTATCTTGTCACATTCAAATTAAATAACAGCTGGACTTTAAAATAGAATTCTGAAGAAAAAACACTATTACTGATTTTTAAAACTAGAGCCCATGTTTATATAAAGCCTGTTTTCTAAGGCCTTGAAAAAGGTCCATACATTTTATTACTGTTGAGAAGCTGGCTATACCTGAGAAGTCATTACACACCTAACTGAGGTCCCCACACGACTGGGATAGCTCTAGCAATAAGAGCAAATAGCGGAGGCTGCCAGAGGGCTTGGTGGATCAAGGAGCCTGCTGCTAAGCCTGACAACTTCAGTTTGATTCCCCAGAACCCACATGTGAAAGAGAACTGACTTACGGGGTTGTCCTCTGACCTCCACACACCAATCCCCCAATTCATAAGTAAGATGTAAGACCCACATAACGAGTCATTTCTGCTCTCGGGTGACAAGTGTCTGAGCACCCACTCACCACTGCACCCTAGTAATCCTTAAGCCTTCAGCTCTCAGGCATGAATCACAGTCCCATTCAGCATGTGATGGGGAGAGCACATTATCCTTGTTTTAATATTAATTTTATTTATTTTATTTTATTTTTTGGTTTTTCGAGACAGGGTTTCTCTTTAGCTTTGGAGGCTGTCCTGGAACTCACTTTGTAGACCAAGTTGGCCTCGAACTCACAGAGATCCGCCTGCCTCTGTCTCCCCAGTGCTGGGATTAAAGGCGTGTGCCACCAACACCCGGCTTTAATACTAACTTTATTATGTGTGTGTCTGGCTGGCTGGCTGCTTGCCTGTCTTCTTACCTGCCTGCCTGTCTATAGTTTGAGAGTGTATGCTTGTCTGTTTCTCTGATGTCTAGTGGTCAAGGAGGGGAAAGGCAAAGGAATTAAGGGGAAGGCTAGGAGGAGGGTGTGATGAAAAGGACACGGGGACAGAAGATGCCTTGGGCAAGTCTCTTGGGACCATCGTGTCTTTCACTGTAAAATACACAGACTACAAAAGCCACGTGAGACATGTATTACAAAGCACCTCATGTTTCAATGTTTCAATGCATAGCTGAACACAGATGGTAAGGCAACCATCATGGGTATCTTTGTTTTGTTGGCAATAGTTCTTACCATATGTCCAGCTCAGAGGAGTAATCAGTGGCTCCCAGCAAGGCATCAGGTGGCCGGTACCAGAGTGTCACCACTTCTGAAGAATATGTCTGGCTGGGGATGGACTTGGCTCGAGCAAGACCTGTCCAAAGAGGGTAAGACAGCACTCATTACCCTGGGTCTTTTGGGGAGGCACGGTGACACACTGTGTGGGAGAGCATAAACGGCAGAGTAAACAACACTAAGGATAACATGCCACTGGTGGTTGCTCTCACCAGAGGCACTCAGCTATCCTGAGGTTTGTGTATATTGCACCAAGAAGGTTTCTTAATTTTGGCCTGCACTGTAACTAGATAAGGCAGCCAAGTGTGGTCAGGTGACTAGATTCCTGCTTACTTGGTATGAATAAAGGTGATGTTGAACTTCCAGGTCGTGCCCTTAGTTAGTTAGGGTTGTGCCTTCGGCTTCCCTCTGAGCTATGATGAGCTGACGGTGACAGCTACACTGAAGTGTGCCACTGGGCAATTATCTGAAGGATGGTGGAGCCACATGACAGGTGGAGACTGGATGGGTTACCATGAAAACTCTGACTGCTCTGGTGAGTAAAGATTGTTTCTAGAACACCCTACTGCTGCACTGTGGGTCTCTACAGTAGCAGTGAAATGACTTGGTTCAGGATGAATATATCTGCTTTACATTTCTGTGGTCTGGAACTCTCTCTACCAGTGTAGTAGAAAAAGACTGTTGATCCAAATTAACTAATGTGGTAGACTCTGAGGTCATTTCCTCTCAAGTGCTCCTCTACAAAACAAGAGTACTGTTGTGAATCAGTGGCCCATCTTACAGAACAGCTGTACCCACAGTTGGGAAAAACCTTAACAAGAGGGGTTGTATTGTGGAGAGTTGCTGAATGACTGTCCGCTGAATGCACAAATATTGGGATGAGAGCCATCACTACAAAGCAATTTGATGCCATTTGACATCCTCCAACAAAGAAGATTGGCTTCTTGTCTCACAAGAACCTGCGTGTCAGAGCTGGGGAGGTAGGTAGCCCAGTGGTAGAGTAATTTCCCAGCATGCGCAAGGCTCTAGGTTCAATCCCCACTATCTAAAACAGAGAATAAAAAGATTAAACAAAACAATAAAATACTAGAACCAGTGTGTCATCCAAGTGTGGTGATGAATACTTGTAATTCTTGCCCTTGGGAGAGACAGCTAGGAGGATTGCTGCCAGTTCAAGGCCAGCCTGGTCAACACAGTGGGTTCACGGTCAACCAGGGCTACATGGAGAGACCCTGTTCCCCCCAAATTTCACTGAGCATTTAGTACTATACTAGGAATATAATGATAAGCAAAAATAGACTCTCAACTACTTTCTAGTAAAGGAGAATAAAATCTAAAATCACAAGTATATATGTGTGTATGTGTATGTGTTTCCATGTTGCATTATCTATGAATAGAAATATAAACTATGATATATGCTAAAATGGAAAGACACAGTTATAGGTGAAGTCTATATTCTTTGCTAAGAATGTAGTCAAGGTGACGTTGACATTTAAGGGTGCAGAACCAAGTATCATTTCCATTTATGTAGGAGTCCATGCTACAATCTAGGGTCAACTTCTTTATTCTGCCATCCTGGGATAACCTTGATCTATGCTGACACAGTTGTCATTATCCACTTAGATATAGGGACATCTCTTAAGTACAGTCTACTCTACAGATGTCACTAACTCAAAATTGACAGTGGGATAATATGAGGACCTATTTTAGGCTTCTGGCTAGACGTCTTGATGGAATTCTAAGAAACTTCCACACTCTCCCTCTCTCTTGCCTCCCATTTCCTGTATGTCAGTTTGATATCCACACACAGCATCGTGTTCTTAGGCTCTAGTTTTCAAAGGCCAAGCCTGGTCAATGCTTCAAACAAATGCATACAAAAGACTCATTGTGCATAGGCCAGAAGCAGACCTGAGAGGCAACTCACCAAAGTCAGCCAATTTGAGCTCTCCCAGGTGACTGATGAGCAAGTTCTGAGGCTTCAGATCCCTGTGAAGAACATGCTGGTGGTGGATGTATGCCAGGCCTCGCAGAAGTTGAAACATGAAAAGCTGGAAGAAATGAACACCATACCTAAGGACACTTGAACCACTGTGTGTTAATTTCGTCTCTAAATCAAAAACATTCCTCTAAAAGAATAGAGTGAAAGTGTCCCTTGAGAGATGAAAGAAAGAGAGAGAGATTTTTAGAATCATTTAGAAAGAAGGGAAAAGGTCAAGGGAAATGAGTAGACTACATCCCAAACAAAGGGATTCTGGCTTTTCCTGACATCCCGTTCCTTTGATACTGAAGGAATTGCCCTTGCTTAAAAATCTAAAGTGAAACCTTGAGGTCTCCTTAAGAGCATTTGCAATTGGTTTAGATGTGAAAGATATAATTTTTGTCCACAGATGAACTTAGTATGTCAGGTCAAAGTTGACCTGGAAATGATAGTTTAGAGTTTATTATACTTGCTATGTTTTTCCAGGCTCTGATATGAACTCTTTTAAATCTATTGATATCAGGAGAACCAACTGGGAAATATATTTCAGGTGGTATTAAGAAATAAGGGAGGGAAGTAAGATGGCTCAGTAGGTAAAAGTACTTTCTGTGTTAGTCTGGAATCCTAAATAAAGGAGGGAGGAGAGAATTGACTCCACAAAGTTGCTCTTCTACACACACACACACACACACACACACACACACACACACACACACGATGGTTTTTTTTTCATTTATTTTTTAAGTTTGAGAAAAAAATAAAGGAATCGTCTTTGCAGCAGTTGGCAATGCTGACCATACGTTTCCTCCCTGAAGCACTCTCTCTCCTCGGCTCCACAACCTCCTAATTGTTTCCATCCACCAATCTGGCTGGCTGATTGCTTATAGACGCCACTTCTAATGGTCAACGGCCTCAGGGCTCTGTCCTTGGCCTTCTCTCGGCATTTCTATCACTACTCTCCATTGGCCATCTTACCTCTAATATGGCCACAGTCGACAACGGTATTAGGATCGTTTCAAAATCTTTACCTCCAAATCAAATTTCTCTTTTTACAAATGTGTGTGTGTGTTTGTGTGTGCATATGTGAGATGCATGTGTGCACATGTGAGTACTTGGGTGTGCTCACCTGTGTGTGAATATGCACGTGGAGGCCAGAGGTTGATACTGACACCAGGTGTCTTTCTCTCTAGCTTACTGGTTTTCTTTATTGTGGTTATATATGAATGTATGGTGTGTGTGTGTGTGTATAGGCAGAGTTTCTCTGTGTCCCAGTAGTTGCTTCATAACAACCACACCGAACCTTATATTAATTATAAATGCTTGGTCAATACCCAGGCTTATTACCTTACTACCCCAAGGATCGTGCCCTTACCTCTACCCTGTTAAATATGTATAACTCATTCTCTGTCTGGCTTGTCTCCTCTGACTTTGCTGTTCTTCATTCCATCATTCTCAGTTTGGCTTTTCTGCCTAACTTTATCCTGTTCAGCTATTGGCCAGTCAGCTTGTTTATTAAACGGATCACGGTGACAACTCTTCACAGTGTACGAAAGGATTTTCTACAGCATGTATGTCTGTGTGAGTGCATGTGCAAGCGTGTGTATGTGCAGATGAACCTGTGCCTTTTAGAATACAACCCTCAGGAGTCTGTTCTCTCCTTATGGCTAGGGGCGTTACTGGGGAAGGCATAAAAGACAGCGCACAGGAAGTCTCGCTCTCTTTTCCTGGAGTTCGGCTTCCGGTCCAGTCGCTAGCTGAGATCTGCTGGGCTTCTCGGGGTTTGGTATCGTGTGAGTAATTTTCTAAATTAAATACTTAGCTTCCCTTTCAGTAACTGTGTGTCGCGTATCGTTACAGCGTCCGTAAAGCCAACAGTTTGGTGTCAGAAGTGGGATTGGAATCGGGACCCAGGGCTTCTCTCGGCCCGACCAGGCACACGTGGACTCTCCTTTCGCTAAGTTCCTCACTACTTCGCTCGGCAAGGCACGATTCCTGCCGCCAGGAACCAGCACCTTCTACCTGCCGGTAAGGTTAGGTATTCCAAGGTTTCTCAAGCGGCCACGTGCTGTTTTACTGGCGGCCAGCTGACTCCGGCCACGTGCTCTTTCGCTGGCAGCCTGTTGATTTCGGCCTGAGTTACTCCATTGGTAACAAACTTAACTGCTTTATACAATGTCAACAGCTAACACTATGATGCAGGATGTTAAGAATTTTCTTGGTTTTTGTATGGATGGGATTTTAGAAAGGGTTGAGGACCTACCTGAAAGGTGCTTCCTACCCATGATGGTGATTATTAGCTTCATAATCAATATAATTTTGTTAATGAAATGGCTCAAAAATAGGAATAAACTTATACAGGTCATGCAGTCATCGCAGGATAGTTTTGAAATCTTAATACAAAGGATTCAGGAAATGCAAAACGGTCATGAAGTACCCCAAGACAAGATTCTTGGGGAGGGTCCTTACGCTGACACGCAGGTTCAATCTGCATATGACGAGCACATGTTGTCTTTGTGCCGTACAGCTGCTTTAAATGCCTTGGATAAGGTTTGTGAAACAGGAGAGATAATGCAACCCTACACCAAGGTATTACAGGGCCCAAGGGAAAGGTTCACTGAATTTTTAGAGAGATTATCCAGAGCAGTAGAGGTACAGGTAGCGAACCCAGAATCCAGGCGTCTCCTTATAGAATCTTTGGCGTATGAGAACGCGAATCCTCAATGCAGGCAGGTAATTTGGCCATTAAAAATAAGATCAGCGCCATTGGAGGAATGGGTTCTGCATACAGCGAACCTGGAATGTAAAAGTCAGGATACAGGAGCTTGGGTAGGTGAAGCTATTTCTACAGGCTTGAGGAGGCACCAGGATGCCAAATACCCTACCTGTGATGATATAGAGGCATGGGTAGGGAAGGCAATCTCAAAGAATTTAAATAGGCGTAAAGATCCAACATGCTTTAACTGTGGTAGAATAGGACATCTTAGTAGGAACTGTAGACAACGCATTCCTAGAAATAATGCTTTTACCAGGAATGCATCAAACAGAAGGCCTAAGCCTCCTGGTCTATGCAGGAGGTGTGGGAAGGGGCGCCATTGGACTGATGAATGCTTTTCCACAATAGACAGACAAGGTAGATCTTTGCAGCAGGGAAACGGGCTTCCGGGGCTCCATGGAGCCCCGAAAAGGAAGATTATCCGGTCATTCCCAGTGACAGTGGAGGACAGCCTCTCCCAGGACAATTAGAAGATCCACTGCCCATTGTAAATAATACGGCATTGGATAATACATTAGCTCCAGAGGATGAAACAATTACATCAGGAGGAGATACAAAACATATATTTTGGCAAACTTCTATACAATATCATAGACCCAAACTTCCGGTTAAGGTAAATAATAGGGTGATTTACGGATTACTGGACACCGGAAGTGACGTCACTATCCTTAATCAGCAGTCCTGGCCACAAAACTGGGCTTTAAAAGAGGTTAATGTTCAATTCTTAGGGATTGGAACCCTATCTGAAGTTAAACAGAGCGTTAGATGGATTGACTTTATTGGGCCAGAAGGACAGAGAGGAAGGTTAAAGCCATATGTTGCAGATATTGCTATAAACCTCTGGGGTCGTGATCTACTCCAGCAATGGAATACGCAGATTAAAATTCCTCCTGTATCAGCTAGGAATTATAGACAAGCTCTTAGTGGTAGTAAGAATATAGTAAGACAGTACAGAAAACAGATGCCAAATGTACAGGCTGTGCAGAAGCAAGATGCTAGTGCCAAACCTACAGAGCAACCAAAAGCTCTACCATTAAAATGGCTGACAGAGGAACCCGTCTGGGTGGGTCAATGGCCTATGACATCTGAGAAGTTAGAGGCTTTGGAGAAGTTAGTTCAGGAACAGCTAGATGCTGGACATATTGAGGAATCAACTAGTGCATGGAATTCACCTGTTTTTGTTGTCAAGAAGAAGTCTGGTAAGTGGAGAATGGTTACTGATCTTAGAGCCATCAACAAGGTAATTCAGCCTATGGGGTCTCTACAACCTGGGATGCCGTTACCTTCTCTAATTCCTAAGGATTGGCCAATTATAGTTATAGACTTAAAAGATTGTTTCTTCACCATACCGTTACAAGAAAACGACAGAGAAAAGTTCGCCTTCACAGTACCTACCTATAATAATTCCCGTCCGGTACAGAGATTCCAGTGGAAGGTACTACCTCAAGGTATGTTAAACAGTCCAACTTTGTGTCAATATTTTGTGAATAAACCTCTAGAAATAATTCGTAAAAAATTTCCACATTCGTTAATATATCATTATATGGATGACATATTATTGTCTGATTCAAATAAGGATACTTTGGAAAAGATGTTTGAGGCAGTAAAGGAAATTTTGCCTCGCTGGGGATTACAAATTGCTCCAGAAAAAATACAAAGAGGAGATTCTATTAACTATTTAGGTTATAAAATAGATGCTCAGAAAATTAGACCACAGAAAGTACAGATCAGAAGAGATCGTTACCGGACTCTTAATGATCTTCAAAAACTATTAGGAGAAATCTCTCAATTACAGACGATTATTGGTGTAGAAGGGCATGATTTAAAACACCTGAAAATGGCTTTAAAAGGAGATAAAGACCTAAACAGCCCACGAGTACTATCAGCTGAGGCTGAAAAAGAATTAGAATGGGTAGAAAAGAGAATATTAGAAGCACATGTGGACCGTGTGGATCCAAATCTGGACTGTATTCTGGTTATTTTACCATCTAGAGAATACCCCTCAGGAATATTAATGCAGAGGGACGACATCATTCTAGAATGGGTATTTCTGCCACATAAACAGAATAAAAAATTGAAAACCTATATAGAAAAGGTCTCAGATTTGATATTAAAAGGTAAATTAAGGCTTCGTCAACTGACTGGGAAAGACCCAGCTGAAATTATTGTACCTTTAACGAATGAGGAAATTTCCTCCTTATGGAAGGATAATGAGTATTGGCAAATAGCTTGCAGTGACTTTTTGGGAAGTATTAGTAATAACTATCCCAAAACAGAGAGAATCAAATTCATAAAGA